TGTGTGTGTGTGCATGCGCCTGCACACCCAGGGCTGGAGCCTTCCTGGGCACAAAAGTCCCCTCCAGCTCTTCAGACTGGGCAATGACAGAGTAACTTCAAAACATCTTCCTTGAACTGGCCATGGCCTTACTGCTGCCCCAGAGTCCTGTGGCCTCCTGGACTAAGGCTGAGCCTGGTTCTAACCCAGAGGAGCAGGCCAGGGTGGTGGAAACAAGCAGGATGAAAGGCGCCCACCACTTCCTGCCTCCCAGCCTGCCCACCTTTCTGCTGACTCCAGTGGCTCCCTCTCGGTCTCAGCAGCCACCAAAACCTGCAGACACTGAAAGCTGCATGATTAGGAGAATGTGTGCAGGAGGGACAGTACTCCTGCCCCCAGCTGCCCCGCACCTCACAGCCTCGTCCTAGAAGCACTGGGTGCATCACTCCTCACACTGGCTATACCTTGCTGGCCTGAGGAAGTCCCTGCTCATGTCCCCTCCCTCCCCTTCTCACCTTTACCCTGCAATGTCACCTGGGAGCAGGGCAGGAGAGGCAGAAAGCAAGCCTGTATATCTGCTCACTGTTGCCAAGTAACAGGGCACCCCACGAGCAAGAGGGAGGGTGGTCAGAGAGGAGGACCAGGCAAGACCCAGAGCCAGGCCTGCCGAGGGGCCAGAGGGACAGCAGAGTGACACTCAGGGAAGGAACAAAAGGACAGACAGGGACAATGTGGGGTGTCCTGGGGGAGGTACAGCTGGGAAGAAGCCCAAAAGGCTGTCCCTGCATGTCACATGCCAGGAAAGAAGCAGGACAGTGACCTGAGGAATCGCCTGTCCCCATCCACTGGGCCCCCACCTGGTCCAGCACTGCACCTTGCTTAGCTCTTCATAGCACTTTACAGAAATCTGAAATTGGTCTGTCATTTAAAACTTGGGAGGTTTCACACGCAATTGCACAGGCCTGGGTTCTTCCGTGGCTGGCACTGAGCATGCTCCCATTTCAGAACAGGTGGACATGCCACCTCCCTGCTGGCCCCCTGCCAGAGCTGCTCTCCCCATCCAATCTCTGCTTTCAGGCCAGAGGCTGGACCTGCGCTAAGACATTTGGCATCGGCCGCCCTGGGCCCCTTGCCCAGGTGCGGTGGGGGAAGCGCCCTGTTGAGACTCTGGTAAGCGGTTGGGGCTCATCCTGTGCTTTAGGTCATAATCCCAGGAGAGCAGCGGATGCAGTGTCCTGCCCCAACACGCTGATGAAGGTGTCCCCTGGGGCAGATGTCAGCCCCTGAAGGACTCTGGCAAATGGCAAGAACAGGGTCTGGTCAGGTAGAGACAGGCCCCCTGGGCCCCCTCACCCCTTTGCCCCCTCTACCTTCCTCCGTCTTGAACCTGGCACCTGATAGGAGGCAGGACTGGGCCACAAAAGTTGCCTTTCCCAAAACCAGTACCACCTTGAAATCCACCCCCCACCTCCCACCTCCCCAGCCTGTCCTTGTGACCCTTCTGGCAGGACCCCACAGGGCCACACTCCTGCAGGGCTGGGGAACTCACCCCCACTACAGCCCAGTCCAGCTGTGAGCACCTCTAATTTGAAAAATGATGGGAGCTGACATTGCTCACCCAGAAGCACCCTCATCTTTGGCTCTTGCTTCTCCTGTTCCTTGGGATGCATCAAAAGTTTGTCATTTGCAAAATGGAGGTGCTAATATGTGCCTCACTGATTCTCAGCAATCTTGTAAAAAATCAAGTTAGAATGTTTAGAAAATCATGTATTTGCCCCCAAAAGCCCAGATGCGTTGTCACCAATGGGACTGTGACACTGTCACAAACTGGCATTGTTTACAAAGCCCTGTCCCTTGTATGTATCTCCTTTGCTCCTTCCACAACCTAGTGAAAGAGGCAGTATTATATCCATTTTACAGAGGAGGAAACTGAGTCTCAATGGCAGGGAGTCATTTGCTCAAGGACTGAGCAGCAGAACAAAGGCGTGAAAGCTGAAGCCCTACATCCTGTGCCTGGGGCAGGGCTGGACTTTGGGACAGAGGGACCTAGTCCACAGGTGGGGTTACCTGTGGAAACCCAGGCACCGTGAGAGCCCCAGGTGTGGGGGCTATCCCACCCAGCAGGCTGGCCTCTGCCACCCACAGGACACTGCTCCTCTTGTCTTCCCTCCCTTGCCCAGAGTGAGGAGTGGAGGGCAGCCTTTGGGAGGCTGGCCAGAGCCCACCTTGTCTGTCCCATCCCAGCAACGAGGAGCAAACCCCCGGGGCAATGGTCTGGGGAGACTGGCGACACCACAGCAATGACGTCCCTGGCACCTGACTTATGGTAAATGCTAATTATGTGCCAGGCCTTGTGCTAAACACTGTAACTGCCTTTAGCACATTTATTCCTCCAGCCTGCGAGGTGAGAACCGTTTATCCCCATCTCACAGCTGAGAGAACAAACTGAGAGAGCTCAGGTTTCTTGCCTGGAGTCACAGGTGGTCAAGGCGGAGCCCAGACTCCCACCCTAAGTCCAGGTGCGGTCCCAACCACGCAGCCCCCCTCCCCAGGTGAAGGTGCTGGAGGGCAGGGGGAGGCACTGAGCTAGCAAAGCCAGGCCCTGCACCCCCTGGCCAGGCCCCCTTTCGTAAAGATGCCTAGACTTTGCCAGGACTTTCTGCCTTTCCTGCACTGGGGACATTTGACTTGGGGGTTTTGCACTTAGCAAAACAGATGACACACTTCTGCACATTTCCATTGTTCTGTGCCACTATTGCTCTTGGAGTTAATTCCAGGGTTTGGCTAAATCTCCTTCCCAGAATGTTCCAGAATGTAAGCATGCTATGAGGACAGGTGAGGGGCAGATGGAGACGGCACTGTTGACAATGCCACAACTCAGCCACAAGAGGTTGTTCAGAGCCAGGCTTCAGGGTCAGGTGTGGGCGAGGCACCCCCAGGCCTTCCTGAGCTCCCTGGTGAGCAGAGGCTTGGAGGTGGAGCATGCAGGCCAGGCCCAAGGAGCAGTGAGATGTCTGTGGGCCTAATGTCAGCAAGGACACACGTGACCCGCTGAGAGGTGGCCGGGGATGTTGTCAAAACTTCTAACGAAGTTTTACAATTTCAATTTCTTTCTTTCTTGGTTGAAAAGTCCTGACTTTACATAGCTTTCACCTCCTTGTTTACCAATGTTTTCCAGCCCCTACTTTAAATTCTCCACCAACATGCACATGCACACACACACACACACACACACACACACACCCCACTCACACTCAGACTCCAGACCTCCAGAGCTCTGTCGGCACACATGGAATGAAATGAATACTTTTAATGGGAAAACCTCATCTCTCCGGGCTGGCCCAACATGAGCAGAATTAACCACCTATTGTAAGAATGAAGTTCTACCACAAGCTCCACAAGGAGCCTATCAGTGAAGGCAAATGCCGTTGCATACCAACTGGGAGCATGGCTGCAGAGGGCCCTGGGAATTGGCCTCAGCACCAGCTCTTTCCACGGTGCTCCGGGCACCTCACTCCCTGCATGTCCAGGATGAAGTGCCTAATGGGCCTCACCTCGTGGGCAGGATCAGGTTATGGATTAAATGCTGCATGAAGATAGGTGGGGTGTGGGGGCACCTCTCCCTTCCTGTATCCCCAGACTCTGGAGCCTGTACCTGCTCCGCAGAAGAAAGAAGGTAGGTAAGCACAGACGGAGGGCCAAAGCCTGGGCATGGCCTCTTGCCCACACCGGGGGAGGCTGTGGGCAGGCCCCATTCCAGCCTCATGCACATGGATGTGTACTTGGAAGAGCTGCAGGGTGGAATTTTCAGGAGGTCAAGACACCTTGCACCGAGACCCCTTGCCAAGGTCACTGGCTGAGTCAGATGTCACCAAAAGCACAGTGTCCCAGAAGTTTACGAGCCACCCCATGTTCTTCCTGGAGCACTTGCTCGGTCCTGGGCAAGCTGAGGCCACTTTGTTTGTGCTAAAGCACAGCACCACAGCTTAGCTTAGAGAGAAATGCGCAAACTTTGCAGACACAGCTCGGAAAATAGGTCAAACCCTGGCTCAGACATCCACAACACTGCCTTCTCCAGCATTTCTCTCTAAAATCAAATTAGCAATGTATGCAAATAAGTTGCAAGAATTCATTACGTTAATTTATCTAATTTTGGAGGCAAACCTGAAGCAAACAGCACCTTATTCCCAACACTTAGGGCCTCATAGAATCTTGTATTCTGAATTGTACTAGCCTTGCACCAAGGCCCTTTTCTAGTCCAAAGACATGGCATGTCAATTTCCTCATAGATACAAATGTCCTGGCTTTCCAAGGTCATTTCCAAGGTAACCTGCATGCCAGAACACCCAAAGCTCCAACTCGGGGGCCTTTGAGAAGTACTGGCAGGAGCACAGGGCCCTCCATCCCTGCCCAGGGCTATGTCTTCAGCCCCAGTTGCTGTCTGTTCTGCCTCCAGTGCAGGTCTGCTCCTGGTACTCCCCCATGTTTTAGCTCGATCTGCTGTCCCAGACTTTCCCTAGCCCAGCTCCTCCCCTGGGCCCCAGACCCAGTGCCCTGCCACTTCCTGCTCCTTCAGCTTTGACCTTCCACCTGGCCTCGCTCCTGGGCAGCCCCTCACACCAGGTACAGCAGAGACCAGGTGACGGCAGAGACCCTCAGCAGAGGGAGGGCGGCAGCCGTGCAGTGGGCCCACATCATGCTGGGCATGCCGTGCATGATCCTCCAGGAATCCTGGGGGCCTCCAGGCTGGGATTTGAGCCAGGAGACCTTAGACCCCACGATTGGAGCTCTTTCACTCTGCCATGCAGTGACTGAAGTTGCAATTTCTCTGGACAAGCAGATTCCCACAGCAATACCGAGCCCTTGTGTGGAAGGCAATCAGGCAGTTCCCCAGTCCAATCAATAGTAGGTGAACTATACGAAATGGCCATTTTGGAAGGTCAAAGCAGTCAAATAGCAGCAATTTCGTAGGTTTACCATATTCACAGCTGGTTGAACAAACAAACTCAGTCCCCTCTTACCAGGCCAATATTCAGTGCATATTTATCTCTGTGGTTCATGAGGATTGCAGGAGGGACTCTCAAATGCCCTGCCAAATTCTAAAATAGCCTACATGCAGGGCATTTTCCTGGGACACCCACTGTAGTCCCCCAGCCGGAGGAAAATGACATCGCTCTGGGTTGCTGACAGTTCACTCTCAAGTGCATGGATTGAGTGCCAGCCCTCTGCTTGGCCCTGTAACTAAACAAACAAGCAAGTAAGCAAAGTAATAAACAAACCAGACTTCTTCACAATCTCCACTTTCTTTCCTGTGTTGTAATGTGTCCCAGAATTCATGCCAAGGATGAACTCCCTCATAAATACAACTAACCAGTCTTAGATTTTGAAACCTACCCTTTTTCTTTCATAAGAGTCCAGAGTTTCGTCAGTCACCACTCCTATTCTGACCAGTTTTTAAAGACCATCCACACCCAGATTCTTTCCTGCTGGCCTCCGCCATCAGGCCTGGGGATTTCCACACTGGCTGGAGTCCCCAAAGATGAACTCTCCAGTCCCACCTGGCCTTTGTCACTTCTGAGATAACTTTATTAGGGACAGGAGAAACTGGGTGCCGACAATCACCGACTGATCCATCTGTCAGGTGCCCGGCACTGAGCTGCCCTGGACATGTTATTATTTCCACAAATCCTCACATGACCCCAGGAGGGACAGGGGTACCACTGACCTGGACCCAGTGGACTCCAAGCCCGTCTCCATCTTTACAAGGCCTGGGTTCCTCATAGTGTGATGGTTCTTCTGCAAATGCACCTGGGCTGCCTCAGTATAAGGTGAGCCTCCCAGCCTCCCAGCCTCTGCTCACCCACCTGTAAGTAGGTGCGGGAAGAACAGTTTAGCTGCCAAAACCAGCCTGTTCCTAAGGGAACACGGTTTGAAAAGTCATCTGGCCATGGTTTCCTTCTGGTCCAGCTACCTAAATGCCCTTCCTGCCTTCCTTCCCACGCCAGGAGCATAGCATCCAAAATTAAACTGCCAGAAATAGATGTGCTTGGACCAGAAGTGGCAAGAAATGCTCTGGGCCTGCTGGAATCGCAGCGCAGCCTGGCTCACCCCACGGGGATCTAAAGGCGGCTAATTATGGGCAGCTCAGACCAAAGGCAAGGGAGGCGCCTGGCCAGAAGGGAGTTTCTGTCTTCCCCTTCCTCCCCATCCCGTTTTACCACCAGACTTCCTGTTGTTCTGCATCTCCTTTAGCAGATTCGGTGGCGTCCTGCCAGCTTCCAGCTGATTTAGCAGAACTGGAGATCAGGGTCAGGCAGTCACGTACGTGAGTAGCTATGCTTCGCCACAGTGTCTGCGCCCCTTCTCGCCCTACAGGGCCTGCCCGCCCTGGCAGCAGACGTCACGATGCTCCTTCTGTAGCGACTTGCCCCGGCCGTGCAGTCAGAAAGAATGGGCCCAGGTGGAGATGAGGCTGGTGAGGTAGGCAGGGCACTAACCCCAGGGCACACTAGTCAAGGGCCAACCTGGTAGGTCAAGGTTTGGATGCAGGCCAAAGGGTGCTTTCAAAATGCTGCGCTGGCTGCAGGGTGGAGGTGGGGTTGGGGGACATGGAGAAGAGGCCTGTGGAGTATTGGTGTGTTAAGGCCGTGCTGGGCTCCCCAACTCTGGCAGTCAGTGGAAGAGACCCCATTCCAGTTAGGTCTCCGTAAGCCCTCTGTCTGCCAGGCCTTCCCGAGACCCTAGTAAGCAGCAGCCACAAGGCAGGAGGCCACACCTACTGTGGAGCGACCACAGCTCTCCCAGAGGCCCAGCAGGCTGAAGGCAAGCATCTAGCTCTGGGAGTCCCTGGAGCTGTGGAACAATGATACTGATGGTGGCGAGTGGGTGGGGCCAGAGGATGGGGAGTGAGCAGGCGCTGGGGTGTGGGGAGCCCCACCATCATGAATCGCAGAAAGGAAACACAGCCTAGGTGGCACTGGGGCCTTCCCACAGCCTCCCTGGATCTGGAAGCTGTCCTCTGCCCAGCCTCCCCTCCCCTGGCCCCAGGGCCAGCTTCATGAGCTGTGACCCAAGCAGTGACAAGGATGCCACACTCAGAAGGGCCCGTGATCACAAGGGCAGGGCACTTCATCTGATGCCCTCTTGTCACCATTGTGAAATTCTTAAAAATTTTACCTTTGAATTCTTGTATTTTGTAAGTGATGTCAGATGGGACAAGGGAGCATGCATGTGAGCAGAGGAGGGGATATGCACGGAAAGAACGTCCGCCCCTGCCACCACCATGTCATGGGTGTGTAACATTGCTGTGCACACCGCTCGCCTTCCAAGATACACTTACCATGTATCTGGCCCGATGCTCAGAGGGGTTCCTCTTCTGTCCTTCCCGACTCATGTGCAGACATATGTGCTGATTATATGGCAATTTCTTTGAGGGCTAGAACCCCAGTTTCTCTGTGTCTGGGCCTCAGTGCCAGCCCAGAGTTTTGCACAGAGTCAGTACCCATGACTGTTAATGAGTGAATTTATGACAAAGCATTCAGGAGAAGACTATCTGACCAAGGTGACTTAGACCCTGAATCCATTCCAAACAAGCCACAGGTCACGTATCTCTTCAGAATGTAACAACTTTTTTTAAAAAGACAATGAAAAAAAAATCCTACTATTCTCTAAAATGTACTTTTAGGAAACATCAGTATCATTTTTCACAGGACTGAAACAAGGACAGCAGAGGTTGGCATTTGGCAAGGTCACCCTTGGATGCCAATGACAGAATGCCCTGCTCCAGGCACAGCTCACACACTGGACATTAGCGCAGGCTTGCTGTCCAGATCCAAAACACCTGTGCCCAGATGGGTCTTTGGCAAACTGATGCAAATATGTTCATCTTTGGGATGCCCCCCTTTCAGTGAGCGTGGAGCAAATTGCAGCTGGTTGCTCACTAACCACGTTTCTTCCTCCTGAGGTTTTCCCAGGATTCCCCAGCCTCCCTTGCAGCCAGGTTGAGGCCCTGTAACTGGGTCCTGGCCAGGAAGATGCCCCTTACAGGGCTCGCCATACAATTGTGGGCATGGTCGTCCACGCTCTCCTCCTCTTCTGTGGCAACCCCAGAGACCATGTGTTGAAAAACGTAATGTCACAGACGGAAGGGGCTCAGATAGATCCCTGAGTTGTGGCTTGGAGGAGCATAATCGCACCTGTTACCAAACTATAATGTAGACAAAAGATAAAACTTTATTGTGTTTAGCCACTGAGATTTGGGCTCTGTTTGTTACAGCAGCTAGCGTTATTTATCACAATACAGATGAATGCCAGCCTATCTCTTAGTAGGAATACATGCAGATGCCAGTAACTGAGAAATCAACCAAAGCTTCATAACTAAATGTTAGGTTGTTCTTCTGCATAACAAGCAGTCTTGGAACAGGCGATCTGAGAGTGGATTAGCTGCCCAAGGACACAGGCTCTGTCCCTCCTTCTGTTCAACCAGCCTTGGTGTGTTGGCTTTTGTGCTCCTGCTTATCACCTCATAGTCACAAGATGGCTGCTGTACCTCTGCCATTCCATTTGTATCCTAGGCAGGAAGAACACAATAGAATAGGGCAAAGGGCCAAAGGGCCATGCTCATCACATCTGTCCCGCCTACCCAATGTTTACTTACCTCTGATTGACCAAAAGTGCATCACATGCTTGTCCCAGACCAATGACTGACCAGTGGGAATGAGATCATGAAGCTTGCTGTAGTCCAATCATGCATGATTCATCTCCAGGACTTGGGGTGGGACTCACCCTCCCTGAGATCAGCCAATCGATGTGACTGCCTGAACAAACTGCCACTCTGGTGGCAGAAGAAGGCAGGAGTGGACTAGATGTGGGGCAGTCAGCAATGGCCCTCCCTGGGGGCTGGCACCCTCATGTTCTTCCTCCCTTCTACCACCTTTCTCCAGAAAAGGTTGCAGTTAAGAGAGACCATAAAGATGCCCAACTGGATCCTTTGGCCTTTGAATCCATGGCTCTGGGCCTTGCTCAGCTGACCCCAGAACCCCATTTTATCATCTTGCCCAGGGCACTGGCTCACATGGAGTGAAATGGTAACAGGCTGGTGGCCAGCCAGAGGGCCTGATTCCCACTGCAGGTCAGAGCTTTCCCAGATGAGATACTCTAGGGCAGCTCCCGTCTTTTCTAGGATACCACTGATTGCCATAAACTGGTCATCAGAAATTAGCAGAGCTATTAAAAATTAGCCTGCTCAATGGTTGCGACGGTGCAGGGAAAGGGCTTAATCATAGGCTACCAGCTGGAGAGTGAATTATTGGAAGGCACTCTGGCAGCAAGTGTCATGAGCCTTCAAGATACTCAAACCCTTTGATCTAATAATTCCACTTCTGGGAATCTCCCTTAAGGAAATAATTTGAATACTGAAGAAGCTTTCTGCACCAAGATATTCCTGGCAGGATTAATTATAATGGTGAACACTGAGAAACAGCCCAAATAACCAGCCATTGCATAACAATCACTGAATGCATATGTAAATTCTATATAGAATATAGCCTGTGCAGTGGAGGTACAACAGATAAACAGATGGATGGATAGATGACAGACAGATAATAGATTCCACTCAGCAGACCATATATGCTCATTGAAAATGATGACTGCAGAGGGCTTATAATGGGAAAATGTGTTTGGATAAAATATATGAGTTAAAATAATGGGAACAATATGATCATTATGGAAACATGATAATTATATGAAAAAGGCTGAAATGAAATACTCCAAAATGTAACCAGGAGTGATGAAAGCATGGGTGTTTTCCTTCTCTCTATTTTATGCATTTTTTAATTTTTTTTCTTTTATGAGTAGGTCCTGTTTGATAATAAAAATTATTTTAGAAAAACACTAGCGTTGCTAGGTGAGCATGGAAATTGGATGGGGTTGAGGGACAGTTTGTTCAGCTGGGGCAGCAGTTGGAGGACTTCCCCGGCCCACACCTCCCTCTGGTGACCGCAGTCCTGTTCAGCCAGGTCCAGGGTCTTTCCCTCCCTTGGGAACCAGCTCCTGTCCCCCTTCTCCCTCCACCTTCCCCCCTGCCTGGCAGCACAAGCACCTTCAGTTCTGGTCACCTTGACTCAACTCTCAACTTAGCCAGGCCCCGGGCTCCAAACCAACCCTTAGGGTGGTCCCTCTGCAGACAGAGACTCACCCTTTCCATTAACTTTCACTCACCCTCCTGTTCTCACGAAGTGGGAGCCTTTGGCCAAGCGTGCGCCTCAATACAGGGACAACTTTGGAAGTCCCCCATATACTGAGTAGGAAAAAACTCTGACTTTTCTTTCTATTTAAACTCATCCATATTTGTGTGACCTACTGTTATTCAGGATTATTGCTCTATAATATCGCAGTGTGTAAAGATACCACAATTTACGTATCTATTTCTGTCGACAGGATTTGGGCTGTTTCCAATGCTTTAATAATACCAGGAATGGTGCTCCTGTGAATGTTCTGGTACATACCTAGGAGAAGAATTGCTGGTATGCAACATTTATGAAGACATGCCTAAAAATTTTTATGAGACAAGGCAAAATGCTTTGTAAAACAGCAATACAACTTTGAGAGAAGAAAGCCCAAGAAGATTATACAAGCTCTCTGTATTATCTTTTCAATTTTTCTGTAGCTCTAAAACTGTTCTAAAACTTAAGTGTTTTTAAAATTATATAGTATAATAACCTTTTTAAAGTTGAAGATGATTAAAATTAAAAATACTTCTGAGGCTCTATTTAGAAGGGATGGAATGAAAAGCAGAGAAATGGTAAACACAAGACTTACGGAAGTCTGTTCCCTGGGGTTGCCGCAGGAACCGACGGGCAGAACAGCTTGGCAAGTGCTGTCAGTGCTCCAGCTTTTTTCTTGGATGTTGATTAAGTGGTGTTTGCTCGATTCAAATATAGGAAGGAAGGAAGGCGGGAGGGGGACAGGAGGACAGGGTCTTGCATGGTGTGTGCTGAGTGCCATAAACAAGGATTATGTGTGTCCAGGGCCATACACCTGGGGCCCCTTCAGCAACAGGAGAGAACGGATCTGAAGGGCGGTCAGAGAAAAAGGAACAGCTTGTCAGATGGGCCAATTGTCCTGTGCTAGAGAGCTGGAAGAGCCCCTGGCCCAGGCACATTGTATCATCCCAGGCCGGTGTCTGTACCCTGAGCCTCAGGGGGAGGAGCCATTCTGCATTCAGCCCACCCACTCAGGAGCCAGCTCTGCCATCACCAGCCATGCCTACGGTGGTGACCTGTGTTCTTGCCAAAGCTCAGTGTGCTCATCTTGGGGAGAAATAAAGAAGATGCTATGCATAACGTGCTTACTCACACAAAGTAGGCTCCCAATAAATGTCTGTTATTATATAACACCCCCCATCCCCCTGTGTGTATGTGTGTGTGCACGTACATGTGTGTGCTCATACCCCCGAGTCATTGCCTGGCAGATGCCCAGGACCCTACTCCTCCAGGCCAGGACATAACCTGCCTGGCCTGATGACGCGCCTGGAGCCCTGGCCCTGATGCACGGGCACCATCCCCACCCCCACTTCCTGGCACACAGCCAGCCCCCACCTCATTCCTCTCAACTCCTCAGGGTATACTGATCTGAAGCCCCGCCCACTCCTTGGCCTGGCCCTCATCTGGCCCACATCACCTCTCACTTGGACCATCACCTCCATCTGCTGTCTCCAGCCTGCCCTCTTTCTGAGTCTTGACCCCATCATGCCCTGCTTGGGTCCCTCACGGGCTCCTGCTGTCTCTGCAACACAGCCCTTCGGCCTTAGCCAGCATTCACGGCCTTCAGCGGGCCCCCCTTCCATCGACTTCACCCTGCTCGCTGCGCCCGAAGTCCAGGCCCACTATTTCCCCACCACACCCGCTGCCTTAGTCCAAGTGGTCTGGTGGACGCTGTTCCCTGCAGCCCTCAGCTCCCTTCCTCCTCCGTCCCGGCTCCCTCGGCGCAGAGCCACCCCTGCTCCCTGGCAGGTAGCTCTGTCTCCACAGTCCCTTTCCACCCAGTGGGAGACCGTGAGGGCAGGGCGCCCATCACACCCAGGGCCACACTCAGAAAGTACTTATTAAATAAACAAACAACTTGTTCCATTTAAAGGGTAAGGATCTTTGACTCCCCACTGCAATTATATTTTCCTTTCCCTGATTCAAAACTTTGCCTGGCCTGGGTGGAGGAAGGACAAGTGGAAAACATCTGTCTGGTGGTTTGACACGGGCAGAGACAGAGGATGGAAAGAAATCTGGTGCCTCCTGTTTACCGTGAAGGCTGAGCTTGGAAAGAAAACGTACAGCCATAGCAGATAGACAAATGGAGACAGCTGCACGCTGGGGCCCCCCAGAGCAGCCTAGCAGATGCAGTTCTGGAGGACCAGGGGTCTGCAAGCCCCAGCCTTCTCTGGCCAGAAGAGCTGGTCCAGTTTGCTTGGATATCCTTCTCTAAAGGACATTTCGTACTTTTCCATCTTTCCAAGAGATGGAGCACAGATCCCTGTCGGAGAGTCCCTGTTGCCCCGTCAGTAAGGGAAGCTGGGGGCAATATTGCAGTCGGTGCACAACTACACACTTAGAAGAGCTTACATAAAGCAGGACCTGTCCTGGGCTCCCTTACTGAGAGAGAGGCAACCAGGAAGGAGACGTGGAGCCTAGAGGTCTAAGCCTGAGTCTATGCCGCTGGGTCATCGTCCATTTGACCCTAATTGAGCAGGGCCCTGGACCAGCACTCCTCACTCAAGGCTGTCCTGGCCGGCTGACCAGCTGACCCCACCAGACCACAGCCCCAGGAGGCAGAGCTGGCCGGTCACTGCCTGGGTCCCTGAGCCTTACTGAGCTCAGGGGTCAGTCCTGGGTGCTCCCCCACAGCTTCCCAGATACACCTCCTCCTCTTGGCCCTCCGGGATGTGCACCTGAAGGTTGTTGCTGAGGAAGCCCCCTCAGCTGAAGAGAGGTCTCCAGGCCAGCCGGACATCCTCGGGCTGAGTGTGATGGCTTCCGAAGTTTGTCAACAGGATGTGTACCCCTCATACTGGTGACCTCGGAGGAGCCACGGTGGAAAAAACACCCTGTGTTTCTTCTTCGCTCCCACAGTCACAATACTTCCGATGCCAGATGTGCACTGACATCACATAGTTCTCTGCGACACCAGCTGGGTGTCCCTATAATTTGATTCAAGTCTGACACTGAGTTAGTGCAAACCCTGCAGGTGCTGGGCTCAGTCTCACAAGACCGCCCCCAGTACAGACGTCAGTCCCATAACCCAGGTGTCACCTGTACTTCTGATGCACCAGCTGTAAATCAGGGTTCCCATCACTCCCGTCATTTGCTAGAATAGCTGACAGAACTCAGGGAAACACATGTAGCAGTTTGTTATATGATAAAGGATACAGGTGAACAGCTGATGAAGCAATGCATAGGGCATTGTATGGGGTAGCAACACAGAGCTT